CAGCGTTGGTGATTAATCGCAACGGCATATGTCGAATTTGTGTTTGTTATAATAATTATCTTGAATCGTTATATGAGTTGAATGTCTGGTTTCTGATGTCCTTCTTTTGTTATAAGGCGTGGATTACTGAATCATACCAGAAACAGTTCCTGTTCAAACCAGATGTTCCTTTATCATATTCATCCCTGTTACGTGTTTCTCTTCGTGATCGACGTTTATCGTTTTACACGAGAAGCTCATAAGCTGAAGAAAGTTATTTATGCTCAATTGGTTTGCATAACTCCGCATATACGGTGGATACCGGTGCCCATTTGTTTTTGTCTTTCGTTAGAACAATTTTTTCTATGCCGTACAGCTTCATTGGTCTTCCGGAGGTAAAGGACAGTTAGATGTTTGTGGAAATGTTGCCTTCTGAGCCAAAATATTGTACAGGCTAGAAAAAACACTGGAGTCGAAGGCAGTCCTCCATTTAATGAAATAACTTGCGTATTAGCATATCTCGATAATTTTCAGCGGTCAAACCAATACCTCCCTCGATACCAACCACGATTCAAAAGACGGCAGCGTTAAACGGGAGGACCGTCATCGACTCCAGTGTTTTCTCTAACCTGTACAATACTGCTATTATCTATAGCCATATAACTCTAGGACATTCCTCATAAATTCTAGGGTAGCATTAATCTAAGTGGCGAAGGACCTTAAAGTGGCTTGAACGCTTTATCTTTTGCCCTACTGATTGAGTGGCTTCGGTATAGAAGCAGCTGACGTTTCCAGTTACAACTATGTCGTTTTTCATAGGGCATGTGCAACGTGACTGCGTAAAGCTAAAGTTTTTACGTGTAATCATTACGTTCTGTTACCTCTTATGTTTATTCAATGAAGTTTCGAGGTATTGTAGAAAACAACGCATGATTGCTCTCGCTGGCATGTACTATTTTCATTGTTTAGTCATTGAAGGCATTCACGTGGCAGAAAGTAGGCAAAGGGATTTGCATTGCGATTACAGTGGATACTTGTAAGTTCTAAAAAGCAGTTAGACGATACACTGTACAAAGACTTCGCAAACTAGTTGTTCTCGTCCTTTCTTGACCACATCTTGAAAGCAGTTTTAACGATCTGTTTATTTGGTAAAGGTCAAGAATGGTGATCACAGTGCCAAAAAATACAAATGTTTTCTTCTAAATGAAACGTGTTTCGAATCAAAGTTACCCTGACACTTAATTTGGCTGTCACAATTAGTTGGTATTTGTTTTTAATTGCTGCATAAATATTTAAGTTCATATATTTACATGGTATTTTGTTACATGTTGTTTATGAACAGAGTTCTTCCCCGCGAAGTTTTTTCAGTGGTTGGCTCCAACAAATTTCATGTGACGTACCTTTTGATCGAACTTGATCCTTTTTCAGAAGACAAGGTGTTAACAGCAAAACAACTGTGAGCAGAAGCAGTTTAAACAGCGCCGCTGTGTGTATAATGTGTAAAAGTTTAAAGAGCGGAAAATGAGTAAATTTCTGGATTTAAATGCTTTCCGTTATTTTGTACGTATTTTGTTTTTATAGTATTTTTTATGGTAGATGCAGCAGAAAAATGACCACACGTTAGCGGAATATCAGGCAGAACTTCATAGATTGCAAGAAGAAAGCAAGCTGCTTGAAAAGGCGTGTGCTGATTTTCAGAACCGAAAGACGCAGTTTCTTTCTCTGAAACGAAAAAAATAAAATTTTGCCGCTGTCAAAACAAGTTGCCATTTGCGTTTATGCCGTACTGTTTTTGTGGTTCTTACTAGGAAACTTCTTGTGCACAATTAACCAATTATCGTCATTCATATTTGTCATCTTGTGTTGTCAGTTCGTTTATTTTTGATTGAGAATGTTCGTCATATATGACGCTCAGGCTGTTATTTGTGGTGTTTCAACTCGTACTTGTTTACTGTTACACGAATCATTTAGTCATGTTTTCGTCTATTAAAAGGTTCTTAAGCGAGAAACCTCGTTTGTAATTTGCTTTTTGTCAGCTTCGTGATTGCTTAGCACTCAGAGGAGGCTGGACAATGCAACCGGAAAAATGGGTTTCTTGAGGGAATCGAAGAACCTCGACGTGAATCTGAGTCACTGTAATTCTCTATTTTAGGAAATTTCTCGAACGCTCATCATTCAAAATAGGGATTGCTGAAAATGTGGTGATCGCCCGTTTAGCGTGGAAGTTCCTTTTGGATCTTGCTCCTGGTGTAGTTTTCGCGCTCTCCTTGATTTTATGTAAAATTTATAAATGATAAAATAGGAAAATTTAGAGGTGCTTGTTTTGCGTATGCCCTACTTTGCTGAATATGAGGTAACTAATTTTCTCATTTGTAGCTCTTAACCCAATCAGTCAGTTTCGATGGCGGATTATCCTTTCAGTTCGCCGGTTCCTGAACCTGCGGCAGCGTTTGAGCGTCCACTGCAAACAGTTCGGGTCTGGCCAAAGCCCGTCGAGGTTCTTGCCTCATGTTATTCATGAAGTTCCTGTGATCCTCGGCAGTTCGGAAAAGCAAGCAGTAGATGTTTCGCTTTCCCTTCTGTAAGCATTCCAAAAGAGTACCGAAACCGTCAGATATTCAACCGTTGGACAAATACACCAAGGCTTATCTTCCCTGTAAATGTTTTACCACCCTGAGAGTCACAAAGATCAACGATGCAGGATCGTTATATATCTGGCTTCACATTGGATATTGGTCGATCTGTTTAATTTATTTTAACTCTAAATTAAATAAAAATTTGCATTTATTTCAGTAAATTACCTAAGAAATTTAAGTTCAACACGATTCATCATTTTACTTGAAACTTTCTCGGAAAACACATCATCTACTAGAAGAATGGCAGTTAAACTTCAATTATATTTTATACATTAGTATTCCCAGTGTGCCTACCTGCCATTTATTTGCCCCAACATTCAAGGGTTGCAGATAAGGTGATGATCCCATATACGAATGTTAGCTGTGACAAATGGGTATTGACTGACAGGCAGCGGTGAGATCAGCAGGGTGTGACGGGGTTCCAGCTTGATAACTATGTTCGTTCCTTACAAAACTCACAAGCTAAATAACTGTCCCATGTTGCAGGCAAAGCGGCTCCGCCTCTTTGAAGGAAAAGCGACCTCAGTATCAGCGCTGCCTTGCGGTTAGACATCGGTAGACAACAAGAGACAGCTTTGATAAAAGCAGGACGGAGTTGGAGAACCTGTCCTTACGAAATTCATCGTAACACCGTCGCCCCTGCCAGCTAGTGGCAAATGGAAGTGGAAGAATTCTATCAAGAACTGGGACAAGCATTAGTCCCAAAGTCCACACATGCCACCTTTATTTGGATCAGAGATAAGGTCAGACAAGGAAGTGAAGATTAAAAGTTCGTCGGTGGGTAAGAAAGAAGTGGAGAGCGAAATAACCGATAAGATCGGCTGGTGATCATAGCACAAAGACAACACTAATATATTGATAGTAACTGGTTTAAGAAAATGACCAACAGGAGGTGGACACGAATTTCGCCCAAAGTGATGGCGGAAAATGAGACCGACTTTGCCCAGTTTGAAAAATGTTGTATCACCCTAGACATAGCAGCAATGCCAGGATTTAATACCGGCAGTGACAAAGGCAGGTGCTGGCCAGGCTCAACTTCGACAAAAAAA